CCCCCTCCCGCAGGGAGCGAGCTTAACTAATCCTCTCGTGACGAGAGTCGTTTGCGGGCAGGTCTGGGCGGCAGCCCAGTCTCGTCAGAGTGGCTTAGAGCATCTCCACCGCGGGACCTAAATCGGGGGACTAAACCAAATTTAGGCCCCCGCGCGCGATTTAGCTTCACCACTGCAGGCCCTAAAGAGGGCCCCAAACTAAGAAAATCCCTCCCGGGACCTACCCAAGTCTCACATTTAAGACACTATAGCTACCCAGATAGGTCCTCCCGACTTACATATCACAGTCAATTCCTGTGATACTTCAACTCATTAATCTTGGAGAAACAACCCCCGATATCCCCAACCCTGCCTGCACCTCATCCCATATATCCGCCAGCCAAGAGATCACACAGCAACAAGGACAGAATGGTGCAAAAGCAAAATCGCACAAACGATCCGCCAAACAATGATGATGGTATTGTTGACCAGAACATCGACATCAGTGGGTTTTTTTTACTTGGTTTGTTGTTTGCTTTTGACTGTTTGACTCACCTCTTTCTTCCCCTTTTCGAACCAACTCAGATGCTGATCCGCCTGACTCCCGTCAAGAAAGTCAAACCCAAGATGAAAAGAAAAAAGCTCCAAATTACACTGAGCCCGAGGACTACGAGCTATGTCGAGCCTGGGTTCAGGTATCCGAAGACCCCGCCGTTGGAACCAATCAAGACGGTAACACTTTCTGGCAACGAATTCGGACGGTCTATCACGAAGCTGTACCACGTCCAATCCGTCCCCTCACCAGCTTGAAAAAGCGATGGTCTAACCACTTACAACCTTCAATCAACAAGTTTCGCGGTATGGTTCACCAGGTCGAGGAAGTTGCCCAAAGTGGCGCATCAGTTGAGGATCAATTAAACCGTGCTCTACGGCTCTACTCCAGCGACCAGCAAACCCACTTCAAACACTTGCGCTGTTACAATCTACTCGTCAAGAGTCCCAAATGGAGCAACTACTGTCGAGATCGCGACCATGAGAAGAAGACCGATGCTGCTAAGAAGAAACGAGCTCGGAGCCCTAGTAGCGAAGCCCCACCTGCAACTGTGTCGACTCCAGCACCGTCTGATCTTGTTGATCCTGTCTCAGACTTTGAAGGCACCAGCACCGAACCATCGACATTGGACCGACCAATCGGCAAGAAAAGGGCCAAGACGCTCAACCAAATAGCCGCTAAAGATACCGCTTGGAAGGAGGGGGTTGCCATCGCTCACAGCAAGATTGCCTCTGAATCCAAGCGGTTTAACGACATCATCAGCAACGATTCAGAATCTCTCAAAATTATTGCCGATAATCAGACCACCTCGTCCCAGCTTTCCATTATGAACCAGGACCTCAGTGGTCTTGATGATGAGCAACAGGAATTCTTTCGGCTCAAGAGAGCAGTCATCCTCAAACGCCTCCGCGAACAAGCCGACCCATCGTCCATCTAGCCAATACATCAAACTCGACATTCAAATGGATCAATTGATTGATCGTTGCTCAAACAAATCAATTGGTCGATTGTAGCTCAAACAAATCAACCGATCAATCGTTGCTCAAACAACTCGTTTGATCATTCGTTGCTGGAACTGATGAATTGATTGATCGTTCCTCAAACAAATCAATTGATCGATCTGTTCCGATTCATTTAAGCCAAACAGCTCCGATCTCTCTCCATGTTTACTTCTTTCCCTTTGCTCTCTCTCACTGAAACTTTTCCACTCAAACTCTCGCTATTGTTTTCTTTACTCTTCAAGTTGATCTGTTGCATTGTGTGATCTTGCTCAATGTCTCTCTTTTCTCTTTTAATTGCAATCAAAGGGATTGATCAACAGCTGATAAACAATTCTTGGAGTGAATAAATGTGAGAAAAGTACAAGAAAAGCCTGGAATAAGGAGTTCTTGAGCCAATGAGAGTGAAACACAACATGATTTAGAATTCAGCGACATCATCATCCTCCTGGCGGCCTTTTATATCCCACTGATGCTTTATGAGATCGTTGCGTAATTGAAAGTGAGAACCAGAATTCCTCATAGATTCGTGATTGTCAATGAATTCAGCAAATGAAATTGAGGTCCCATCTCGCAAGACCTCGACCGGTGTAATGATGGCGGTAGGTGAGTGGTCGTAGCTATAGTCTAGATATGTACCTCGTTCATCTTCAACAATCATGTTGTGCAGGATTATACACGCTTTCATGATCGTTTTCAAGTTGTGATGCTTCCACCCACGAGCCGGACGAGAAACCACCGCAAATCTGGCCTGAAGGACCCCAAAGGCACGCTCGACGTCCTTGCGTCGGGCTTCCTGCATCTTAACAAAATGTTTCTGTTCGGCTCCTCGAGGCTGAGACATCGTTTTCACAAATACGGCCCAATCAGGATAGATACCGTCGGCTAGGTAGTATCCTTGTTCGTAGTGGTGGCCATTTATTTCGTATTCGCATCGCGGAGCCCGTCCATTCAATATATTTGAAAATAGAGGTGAGGTATCAAGGACATTTATGTCGTTGTGTGAGCCTGGCATGCCAAAGTAGGCATGCCAGATCCACATGTCGGATGATGCGACTGCTTCAAGAATGACTGTTGGTCGTTTTTCTTTTCCTTGGAACTGCCCAGCCCAGCCGCTTGGGCAGTTCTTCCACTCCCAGTGCATGCAATCAAGGGATCCGAGCATACCTGGGAAACCTCGTTTGGCACCATCAGTGAGCAGCCGTTCCAAGTCGGCGGTCGTTGGGTGTCGAAGATATTCGGCTGAGTAAATTGCAACAATTGCATTGCAAAATTAGTCCATACACTGTAAAGAAGTTGACTCGGAGAGCTGAAGGTATTCGTCATTGCAGTCGGCCGCACCTCCGTAGGCAAGCATTCGAAGAGCAGCTGTTATTTTCACCAGTGGCCTGATTCCCGATTTGCCCAATGCATCGCGTCAAAGAGTAAAGTATTCGTCAAAATCTTGAACAGCCTCGGCAATCTTCATGAAGAGGGGTTTTCCCATTCGGAAACGGCGTTGGAAGATTTCTTCATTGTAGAGTGGCTGTGCAGAGAAGTAATGCTGCATAAGCTTGTTGTAGCTGCCTTCAAAGTCGCGAGGCCGGTTGGGTTGTTTTCCTGGATGTGAACCGCCATGCGATGGCAATTCAATTTCGTCTTCATCGTCATCAAGGAGCATTGGTGTAATTTCAAGCATTGCATTGATTGTTGTTCTGAACCTTGCTGCAGCTTGCCTTCGCCGTAAGATCATTTGAAGTATTACAGCATCTTCGTCCATGTTGATTGTTTGTATGTTGTAGATAGACAAGGTTTCTGGGGTGTGCTGGTTTGTGATTCCAAATGGATCATGATGTAGGGGGAATCGGGGGGATACCCTTTCACAGCCCCAAGGTGCTACTTTAAGACTCTGCGGTACAAAAGAAAATTTAGGCAAGGAGCTAAAATATGCGCCGCAGTTGCGCGAGGTCGAAATTTAGGGAAATTTAGGGACTGAGGTAGTCCCCTGCGGTGGAGATGCTCTTATACTGTATTACTCAAAGCCCGCGTGAGGCAGGCGTGATAAAGAGCCCGATTTCAACACTTTTCCTTCCCGCTCCTATGTCACACCTCTGAAAATTAGCTCGTTGGGTTTTTCTTACCCGCTACTATCTCTGCGATTTTTTGTTATTTTTTTATCTTCCTGTATCCATTCCATTATTTTTGAAACTTGACAAAAGGAATTTGGAACCCTCGATTATTTTTCATTATGCGAATATATTATAATGAAGAAACATCACATCATATGGATGACTAAGTGGAATTAACGAGATCAGTACCGATCATTCAAAGAGGTACTGATCATTAATGATCGGGGCAAGCAGTGTGTAAATTATGAGTTGAAATTGTTTATGAGTTACAGATGCAAACCAAACAACTGAACATACCCAAAAAATCAAAAATGTCCGTTGATCCTACTGCTGAAGAAACCGTACTCCCTTTTGAAGATGAGGGTCATTGCGAGGATAATCCCCTCCCAGGATCCAATTCGTCTTTGGTCGGTGATACTACAGAAGATCAAGATTCATCGTCGTTTGGGGATATTACCGAAGATCTCTTGCCGTTCGAGGAGATATCAGACTGTTGACCCGATACTCCATTGGAAAAATCCGGCCGAGCGATCAAAAACAAACCCGGCCAGCTTACCTTAGGCAAGGACACACTCAACATGTCAAGAGAAAAATCGATTGAACTGTTGAAACAAAGATCGAAAATGGTCTATGGAGGCCAAGAACCAAAACAAATCCAGCTAGACTCCGTTATTGACTTGATCCATCGTTGTGATACTTTTGTCCTCGCAGGGACAGGAATTGGCAAGAGTCAAATTGCTGAAATGTATTGGGATCTATTTCCCAAATACAAAAAGCCGATTGTGCTAGTCTTGAACCCTCTGGACTCACTTGGTGAAGTGATCGGATCGATGGTCGATGGTCGAAAAAAAGGCAGGATGTATGCGGACTTTAGTGATGATATCGAAAATCTGCATGTTCATTACCGAAACTCTCTTTAAGCATAAATATGCTTCTAACTCGGACCTTGTTATGTCAGGTCTGAATCCAAGTTTGTTTTTCAATGTTTTTTTACTCTTAGAAGCTTGCAGTGACCGACCAAAATAAAAAACATGAAAAAATCACAATAATACAGATCTTTGACATACTCGGAGGAAAAAAGAATCTGCATGGTTTTGGAGATGTGATGATGAAAACCAGGTTGCTCCCACCAAAACGGTGTTTCTGGGTCACCCCGCAAAAGCGTTTTAAGTTTCAAGTCCCTCCCTGCGGGAGGGGGCGCTTCGCGCCCAGCCAGTTACACCAGCGAGCCTCCCACCAGGGGGGACTTGGGTTAAGTTCGCGCAGGGAGGGACTTGAAACTTAAAACACATTTGCGGTGTGACCCAGAAGCACAGTTTTGGTGGGAGCAACCTTCCTTGCCCTACCACTCATTCATTATAATGCCATTATGTTCTCAAGTCTAGTAGATGAAAGATCTACATAATCTTGATTTTCCTATATTTTTTTTATTTTGAAAAGGTGTGTGATTCTATTTGAAAATAGGCAATGAAGTTCATGATTTTGAACTTTAATTTGCAAATTTGGCAGAGAGGCTCGAGCGCAATCTCAGTATAAGCATATTTTATGCCTGCAAAATGAGAATTTGTCTTTTTTCTGTTTGTTCTTTTAAAAAAGATTGGTATGGAAATAAAAATATGAAAAAATACAGAAAGATCAAGAAGATGTCATAGAACCAGAAAAAAAGCACAAAGAAATTTTGAGAACAATAACATCAAAAACAGAGCGGAAAATACAAAAAGGAACCTCAAAATCATGCCTGCCTCACGCGGGCTTTGTGTAATAATATGTAAGCCTCTCTGACGAGACTGGGCTGCCGCCCAGACCTGCCCGCACACGACTCTTGTCACGAGAGGCTTAGTTAAGCTTGGTTGTTAATGTGAATTATTCCAGAATGATATTTTCTGCACAGTGACTGTGCAAGATGCAAAGTGACTGTGCATCAAGGTTCAACTGACGTAAATTTTGAGTAACATTTGAGTTACTACACAAGTTTCATCAGAGTTCCCACATGTCAACTGCTACCAGTTAAATGTGATTTTTTTCACAGTGTTACCATCAAGAAAATAGGTTTATTTTACAATGTTTGAAGCACCTGTTGCTTATGCATTTCAAAGTCAATACTGACTACGTTCCACATAAGCAAGTTTGACAAAGGGAAAAAGAGAAAGAAGTGAATGGATCTTATACTCTATGAGTATGAGAAGAAGGAGGTAATTTATTGTTGTGAAGGAAAGATGGACTTTGACCTTGAGGTATTTGTGATGATGTTGTATAGGGCTCAGGAAAGTATGACCTGGCAGTGGAACAAAAGAAACATCTCAGACTCCAAAAATAACTCCACAAAGTTTTACTTTTTTTTGGAAACATCAGTATGCTAGCAGAAAACACCATTGTTAGTCTGCTGAAATTTTGGAATTGCAGGGCAATAACCCTGAGCTAGACTGTTTTACACCTTTTTTTAGTGGTAAAAGCACCTCAAGCCTGTTCAAATAGAGCACATGGTAAGCTAATCTTATTTGCCTATGAGGAAGTTAGTTTAATGAGAATATAAACAATAGAATAGGCTGTGGAAAATCTGGGAGCTAATTAGGAGTATTCATGCTACATTATTCCAAATTCTACTCTTTCAATTAGCACTATCATTATGGGTGATGTGGATTTAGGGATGCCCTCCAGTATGTATGCATTGGGAGGTACCTGCAACATCTCCTATTACCTGCTGGTGGGTGGTAGGTGTCCAACTTGAACAAGTTAATGCCAAAGAGGAAGGGGAAGACAGAAGAATACTGTAAGTGCCATTAGAGCAGGATAGACTAAATTAGAAGATCAGACTATATATTTTGACTCAATCTCTTGCTGAGGGGAAAAAGGAATCAGCCTTGGATGAGACAACGGAAAGGAAAAATGGTATTTGGAAGGACCAGAGGATCAGAACTGATGAGTTTAATTGCTTGTATCTAGCTGAATATAAATCTACTATACAAGACCTTCCAACATCAAAACTTGTTCTCCGCTGCCTTCTACTGATCTTCTATCCAATGCCTCTCAACAAATATATAAAGAATATCTGTCTTGAATTGGTAGTCTTCTCTATCTGGCTCAGGTTTCTAGACCGGATATTTCTTTTTCAGTGAATTTTCTAGTGTGCTTTTCCATGGTACCAGATCAGTTGCACTGGGTTTCCCTGGAACATCTCCTCTCTTATATTTGCTGCAAATCTAGCCAGAATCTTTCAATGGTTGTGGCTGTGACCTTTGTTGATGCAAAGGATGGCACTCTGTCCATTGTTTCATTTCAACCGTATGGGGTACACCTATCTCTTGAGTGTCAAAACTTCAGAATTATGTGGTCCACGCAACATGTTAAGTGGAATACATGGAACTTTCTTCTTCCTCAAAGGATGCCTGCTTTGTTCATTCCCTCTTATCTGTTTTTTACAGCTCAAGATCTCCCTTGATCTTGTCCAAAAATAAGGCTGTGGTTTATATCAGCAAAGACCACAGTACCCAAAAAGAACAATGGCACATTGATCAAGAATTTCACACCATCAACAAGCTGCTTTATCAAAATCAAGTAAATCTTGATTGGATCCCAACAAACAAGCAATAGGCCAATATCTTCACCAAAGACTTGGGGTGGAGGAAAGTGTTGGATTTTTTGACCCAGAAGGGACTTAAGTCTTTGTCCCACACTTTGGCAGGTATAGGGGGGGAAATTATGTGCTGGCTGTGATGAACATACACCCCCCATGATTGTTTTTCTCCTTCCAGGATCTAAGGATAATCATTATTGTGATTGGTTCAATGGAGATTAACCTATCCTGCTTTATCTTTTGGCTGTCCTTATTCAGGCTTCTCTTCTGGGGGTCTCTTGGAATTCCTGTATATTTTGTTCTATTACTGCATTCATTTCTTTATGTTGTTTTCCTGTTTTTGTTTTGTTTTCTTCTATTTACTTTGTTTATTTCTCCATTTCTCATTTTCTGGCCTCTTTTACTCTTAAGTTCTATAATTTATTACCTCAGGGTCCATTTGGTTTGATTCCAAGCCCTGGTCCAATTGGTGGCTCAGTTGCTCCTGGGCACAAGTCCAGAACAACTGGTGTGCACTGGTCTTTGAGAGGGATCATACAACTCCCTCTCAATGAGTATGACCCATACAAACCCAGACGCCAAGGAAGGGCAATACACATCTTGACACTTGGTATACACACAGAATCAGCTATCAAGGAGGGTGCAGTCCCTCCTCAATAGTCAGTAGGGATCCATTTCCCTTTGATGGTTGGCATATTGATGTAATAGCCGTCAAAATAAGGCTCTCTTCCTCAATGATTGTACAGTTCTGGTCATTGAGGAGAGTGATGACAGTAGTGATCACCGGTCATCAAGAAGGGATTCT